AGAACCTTCTTGGATGAGTTAAACTCTGTATCATTACATTGAGAAACAATTTCTATAGAAGATGAGACATTGGTATACAAAGAATATGTGGCTTCAAACAGAATAGAAATATTTTTTATTAAAGGAAAAGATATTTAGAGAAGCTATATTTTTTTTTCATGAGAAATATACTTTTGAAGAACAAGTTGAGTACCAGTTAAAGAGGATATTTATAGCTCAAGGTTGAACTTCAGAGTCCTAGATGCTCTCTGAGCTTGTTTCTTTTCTTGCAGTCATTACCCAAACTAGCTAACATCATTAGGTCTAGGAAGTAGTGGGATTTGCTCTCAATTTATATTTTCATGGCTTGGGCTGTAAGTGTTAGTGGGAGTAGTCTTGATGGGTTGTTGGTTGAGCTGTTTATTGTTAGCTTGTTTGGCAGTTCCTTGATTGGAAGCCTGTCACTCTGACCAATTGGCCATCAATGAGTAAATGGACATAAACATCACCAACAAGCCAAAACTACCCCAGTTGCAATCAACACTCAGATGAGCATAGATTAACACCAAGATTAACATCAGGCCAACATCAAGAAGGAGACAATACTCCAACCAAGGAACTGCCAAACAAGCTAAAAGTGAACAGCCCAACCAAAGAACCACCAGGACCATTCCTACCAACACTGACAGGTTAAGCCACTAGAATACACATTGGGAGCAAGCCTCAATCTTTACTAGCACTGATGGTGTTACTAGTTTTGGTAAGGAAAGATATGAAAGAAAACAACCAAACTCAGAGAGCACCAAGGACCCATCAAAAACTGGAGTATTTATATTATGAGAGCTCTTGCTTCTTAAAACAAAACCCCCCAATATTCATTCTACATTCATTTCTAGCAGATAGCAAGCCAATTTTTGTCATCAACATCAAGCACACTTTCCTTTTGCATTCTTTGGATGCATTCAGTGGAAACCATTTATTTAAAAACTGTTATTGCACAGCAAGAAAAAATATTAACATAAGCTGTGTGCATTGTTGTTTTCTTTTAATTAAAAAAAGCAAAAAGGAAACAGGGTGGGTGCAGTACTACAGTCATAAGGCAAAGCTCCCCTCTTCCATTTTGTGAGGCTGACTAAAAATTGAATTACTGCTGCTGCCATGGCAACCATTCAATCATTTCACAATTCTGCTGGTTTTAAAAACACACACTACGGTAGTTCCATACAGATAAATTCATGAGCTAACATGGTATACTCCACAATTGCCCTTTTCATAACATTCCAAGGAGCAACATATACCAGAATAAATCAATAGCTGTTTCTGCACTTTAGAACCCATTTGTAACTTTTTATCACCTCTAATCCCCTGTCATCTTCTTATGCAAAATACACAGAAAAACAGATGTTAAGGTATTGGACTCAGAAGATAAGGGATTACAGAAGACAACTGGCTTTGGCACTGAAGATGCAACTTGTCGGTTTGCAAGTCAAAATACTTCTGTGCAAGATTCAAGATGGATAAACACTTTGATAAATAATACCAACAGTTGTGCTTGATGGCTATATGATTGACTTTAATCACCAAATAACTTTTCTGGAAACCAGTGTCACCTTTATATATTTAAAATAAAGACAATATTTGCAGAACAGGATTACATGATGTTATTTTATTTTCAAGATGTTATTTTATGCCTCAAACTTCATTTCTTCCAAAGAATTTAACATATATCCTTGGACATGAAGCACTTCAGTAGTTGTTTTGTCAGCTAGTAGATAAAACTACAGGTCTAGGCACATTTGTGTGGAAATAAATACTTTTTATGTTGAATGTGCGTATCCACCATGATCCACTAATGCATCTATTAAACACAAACACAGTAGCTAATATGATCTATTATTAGTAGCTAATATGGATGATCTACAGTATGTTGTTTTCCTTTTATAAAGAGCAATTCCAGATTGGGCAATATCAACAGAATTAAGCATTATCTAACCTATTAGGAGCTATTCCAATTTAGCATTCCAATTAAAACCATGATAGCATGCCACCTGCTGTGGACTGCAGTAAATGACACAGATTCATCTAAGTATCACCATCAAGCTGGATTGTGACCACCATCCAAAGCCAGTGGCTGTGTTTGTATCAATATAAATGACAATCTGTGCTTCTTGGACATTCTTCTTGTTAGTATCTGTGAGCGTTGATGTCTCCGGGGTTTGCTACTCTTACATGACTGTGAATACTTTCTTTTTATTTGTGATTCTCTTTCTAATTGTCCTTGAGCCATATAACAGTACTGCATTATATCTTGAAGATGTGTTTTCACAATTATCTGCTATGCTTCAGATTTCCTCCCTTAATTACATCAAGGCAGATAATAATCTGACAGTTTGCCTCCAGGAGGCACCTCCTGGATCACAGAAATGTCTCTTCTGCATCTTTCAAGCACAGATGCCAATTCAGAAAAGGTCTGAGGAACACTTTGGCCAACCACAATAAAATGAGAATTTACTAACGTACTTAACCACTTGAGGGCTGATTACCTTTTGCAATAACATCCCAATTCTAAATACATTATTTTGAAGCAAGTGCTATTGATTCACTTACAGGGATGTTTTCTAAGGTTGTGTTTTAGATGCACATGTTAATTAACAGCCTCTTAAAACAATCATTTCTGTGACCTCAAAGAAGTTTTAAGATCAGGCAAATATCACAATTTCAAGAGCCCCGTATTTTAGCTGCATTTTAAATACTGATAAATTTAAAGAATACATTAACCCCAGTTTCAACTTATATGCAGAACAAGTTATATGTAGAAACCAATTTTCATGTTTCCCTTTTCTCTGTTCATTTATTTTAATTATTTGAATACTATTTTAGAAATCAATATGGCCTACACAAATAATTAAATAGCAGTAAACTCACTAAAAAAGAGCAAGGAAAACTATAGCAACATTAAAATCAACAACATTAAAATCAGCAGGAAACCTAACATTTACCTAACCTATTTACAACTGAAACTACACCCTCTCTAACCCATGCAAGAAAGGCTCTGTTGAGTTCGATAGGCCATGGTTGGGTTTGCACATTGTGCTGGTGCCACAATATTGTTTGTTTGAGGTTTTTGTATACGACATATCATCTTATTAACATGGGTTGCTTGATTGCTATGGAAAACCAATATCATGCTGGTGGTTGATTTTGCAATGGAAAGTTTTACAATGAAAAGACTGCGATTATCATTTAAGCTTCTTGCTCTTCTCCAAAGACATATTGTCCAGGACATTGGCCAATATGGGTGTGCAATTCGAGCCGAGAGGTGATTCCACATAAGCAGATGCCCCATATTTTGCAATTGGTCCAGGTGGCTGACCAACTAATCAGTCATCCAGGAGTTCATAGTGTTCTGACAGGCTTCGTCAAACAGAATTAATATCAAACTTGTTTTAAAAGCAAAACCTATTCCATTGCAATGCTGGGAATTACTTTCATTCCCAGCCAGAACTAATTATAAACAGTTCCCCAAGATAAGCACACACCTTTTAGTGCTGTGGAATGTTGCCAAAAACAGAAGTCTCCAATTAATTATAACAGAAACCAACCAAAGTACCAGAAAAAACCAACCAGAGCTTCAAAGAGACTCAGAATCTATCAAATTACTTTGCTTCCTGCAAAGCTTTCTTCATTGAGGTCTGACTTTTATCCCTTATGGGAGGGGCAATTACCTCCCAGTCATACTCCTGAATCACCCCTCTGCTTCAGCTGCTCTCACCTTCTAGCAGCTCTGCGCACATGCACACTGGGAACAGGCTCCCCTGGATCCTCTGCTTCACTGCTGCCAGACTCTGAAGGCTCTGAATGCAGGACCCCACTCCCAGTTGGTCTTGGCCTCATCCCTGCATTGGATGCAGGACTCTCATCTGAGTCCTCGCCAGACTCCCTGACTGGTGCCCTTTCTTACATTACTGTCTGACTCTGCTGCCGTCTGCCCCGGATGCCGGCGAACCACAACCTATAGCTGGTTTTCTGAATCTCTCATACTTGATCAACACAATGCTAAGGATTTTTTTTTAAATCATAGCTTGCTGGTTACATCATCATGACCTGATCTGTACTTAATATGAAGCCATAATGATTCCTTCATCAAGCTAATCCCCAAATAAAGAAATTATATTATAGCTGAATGCAATGTGTGAAGCCCACTCCTCTTTTCTCTTTCTCTCAATTCACATGTTTCTCACAATCATAGCTGCTGCTCTGTTAATATTTTGGTGCAACTGTTCAACACTGAAAGCAGACTTCCTGGGCCTATGGTGGCTAAGTAATCCTGAAATTATGGGAGCAGTAGCTCCAGATGAATTGGAGGGGATGAGGATGAAGAAGATTGAACTGAGTGCTTACAGCATTAAACAGCATCAGGCAGGTAAAGGGAAGCTGCAACATAGTTTGTAACACATCAATCACATGTACAATTAATAGCAGAGTCTGCAATCTGTTTTTGTTCTGACAGGTTGTATTATTATTATTTTTTATAAAAGATATGCTATGTATCACAGCATTTGTATAAGAGGAGTGTTGTCTTAAGAGAGTATGTCATATACATTAGAAATTTAAACAACCATAAAAGCACAGAAAATTAGTAAGCAGTTCACAAAAAAACATGGTCAGTTATCAAGGGATATATTATCCTAAATTTAAATCTTGGCAATTCTGGAGTTGAAACACAGCATTAATTAAGACAGGTGGAAATAATCAACTCACTAATTAATTGCATTATTGATTGGGGGGGATCTTATTACAAACATATGACAAAGCCATGAAAGTTTTAAAAACTGTAATGATTTATTTATGTGGTTGATGAAATAGGACATTATGACAGAAGCAAGAATTTAATAATCAGAAAAATGTAAAAGCCTTTGGGAAGATTAACGCAATTTACCTACCAATACTGAAGAGAGTTAAGACTTCATCAAAGAATAAATCAAAGGATTTAGATAAGAAGATACACTGCATTTACTTACCTTCTCCATGCCAATCTTCAATATTTCCAATCCTGTATCTTTTTCAAGCACACTTTTGTTGTCAGCTGTTAAGAAAATTAAGAATGGCATTGTTAAAGGAGTTGGGATGAATTTGCATCATATTCTTTCATCACTGTTACACATTTTCAAGTGCTCAGGTCTTTGCTTCACCATCCTCACAGAATCACTGTAAAATGGATTAGTATTCAATTTTACAGAGAATAAAAGAAAATATGAGGGGGAAAAAAACCCAGAAAGCTCCCTCGACTATAAATCAGCAAGGCAGCCTCTTGTTGAAACTATAATTTTGTCAACTTTGTCATACAAAGTTAAATTCATTCATGAATTCATGAGTTCAATTCATTTATTGAGTCTTCTTCTTATTTTCAGTTGTTGATCTAAATGGAGTCAGATGGGACCATTAGGAAACTAGCTGATTTTAGCTCACATGGGCTCTTCAAAAGCTGGTTCTAGTTAACATTTTGAAGGTCTTCAGGAAATCTCAGGATTAAAAAGTGCACAGGGAGGTTGAAAACACATTTCCAGAAGAAGGCAATGGAAAACACTTTCCTATCACACAAAGAGAGTTGCATGCAGAGTTCATATAGTCAGAGAAGCTGAGAGTAGTTCAGTCAGATTTTTACTGTTTTAATAAGGTTACAAACCGTCATCCTTTAGGGAGGACAGTCCTCCTTTTGTAAGTTCTGTCCTCTCTCAAAAAGTGTCCTCTTACATGTCCTCCTTTTTGATATTTGAAGACTAATCTGTAAACTTCCGTATTTGATCGATGCCGATCCAATCTGTTGTGTGTGATGTGACATATTTGTATTTGACATGACGATTCATCAAGGCTCGGTACAGTGTGGCGAGACGCAATTATGAGGCGCATGCACTCCACACAGGAGAATTGTTTTGAGAGAGTGTGCCATGCGCAAGAGGGCGCCACGCATAAGTGGCTTTGTTTTTTTTCTTCAATTTATTTGTGTCTTCCTTTTCATTGTAAAAAAGTTGGTCACCTTAGTTTTAAGCAACTCAGATCCAAAATTGTATGAAGCTCCCCCAAGTTTTGAATAAATTCCCTAAAGCCCCTCCAACAATTATTCTGTCCTTTATAATTACTGACTGAATGTATAAAGGCAGATAGATAACTCTACAAAGCATCCATACAAAGTTTCTTTATTGATTCACCAGTATCCTCATATATAACTCATGGTTGCATCGAGATTCATCCCAATGTCCAAATGCATTGGGAATTCAGCACTGCATAGCTGAATTCATAGTGTAAAAGGATAGTGCTCTTTTCATCCCCATAATGAAGGATCAAGGGAGTGAGGCACCAGCATGCTGCTGGGGTCCAAGCAAGAGTGAAGGAACCTCCCCCAACCCACCAAGGGTCACTTCAGTGACCAATCAGGATTACAGATGTGACCACATGACATGGACATTTCCCAGGATACCTTAACTACATTTACCATGATGCATTCCCTTAAGGGGACAGCTCCCAATTTCTAACTAACTATAAACTGTCTGGACAGCACAACAATTGTTAATAAATTGTATGAGAGAAGGTTCGGGTTTATTATCATTATTAAATATATGGTTACTAATAAGTTTGATTGTATTTAATTTACACCCACAGAGTCAACCTGGACCCCTCTTGCTTCAAATGAAAGATTAAGATGATACCCTGGCAATTTCTTACAAGAAGTTTGGATCATATGGCCAACTGGATTGTGCTACAGGATTTGGTGTGGAATAGCATTCTCTATCACACAGAGGATAGATGGAAAATACAGATTTAAATGCAAACTTTTCATATCCCCATCCACTCCATGGTTCAACATCCAATTCCTCAGACCGCCTCACCATTCCTGATGATAGGACTTGTTCCTCCAAACACTTTCTAAATAAGTTCAGTTATTTTCCAGGAGCATTTATTCAGTGTTACATGGATTTAAACACTCAACTAACATCAGCCTTATTTATCTTCCTAATTCCCCAGAAAGAAGGCTTAGTAAATGTTATTAAATCTTTTTTGCATAAAAAGAAGGACAAACTAAAGCAGAGTCTTGAATCAGATCACCTTAGCCTCCCTGAATCGATGCTGCAGATTAAAATTCAGTACTTTGTCAACACAATGATTTCATACTATAAGCCTATGGATCTTAATATGTGCTCTTTGTAATATACACATACCATGTTAATCTGTAACAACAAACAGATCATGCAGCTGAGTTGATTTCAAACCCTCAAACAACTAAAAGGAAAATGCCTCAAACCCCACTGATAATGTTGAGAACCATTTATGAAATGAATTCTGCTATACAAATATCAACTATTTTTTCCGAAGAAGCCCATATATTTCACATTTCAGCTTTTCAAGATAACACCCAAAGGATATAGAAATGTCAGTGGGTTTTTTCTCTCCTTATTCTCTAATCCTGAGTTTTTGCTTTTATAATTTTTTACAAAATGTAAATTACATCCTAGTCTTTAAGGAGTTACTGGTGGTTACGTACACTGTTTGTTTCTTTGTTTATTTATTTATTTGTTTGTTTAGACAGGTTATGGTGGAAAATTCCTAGTTCTTATAATGATCTAAAGTGCCTATTTTTTTTAACCAGATTTTTTTACATGATGAAATTATCTAGCTTTCTAAGAAAAAATTGACAGGTAAAAAAAAAAATGGCTAGGAGAGATTTGGAAGTCCTCAAAGGCAATTCAATAGATGATTTTAGCTTAGCTTAGAAAAAGGTTATGTCACAAAGTACTGCTTAGTCCTGTTCTTTGTACTTTTCAATTATGAATGCCTAATTTATTATGCAAAATGTTGTTATATCCTTATCCAACAGAGCCGTGGTAGCTCAGTGATTAGAATGCCGTACTGCGGGCAGTTTGAGTGTTACCAAGCTCAAGGTTGACTCAGCCTTCCATTTTTCCAAGGTGAGTAAAATGAGGACCCAGATTGTTGGGGCCAATATGCTGATTCTGCAAACCACTTTGAGAGGGTGTAAAGCACTGTAAGCAGTATATAAGTCGAATTGTTATTGCTATCAATGTTGTGATTGTTATCCTTTCCATTATAGTTGTTTTTTTTTGCCCCTTCCCCATTCCTTCCTTTTCCTCAGCTTCAAAATTGATATGTACTTGTTTAATCACCTGGAATTTCTTTGTTTGCTAATTGAAATTTGGAATTCAGCAATTTTGCTTAGCATGAAAATAAGCACAAAAGCAGTATGCCTGCCCAACTATGGGAGGGGATCATGGTGAAGATGAAGAAAAGTCTTGAGCCAAGATAGATAAGAAATAACCATCATTGCTGACACTGATTGGAATCAAGCACATAATATCTCCACAACTATCTTCCGTTTAGCTTCTTTTTCTTTTCTGTTTAAAAGATTGTTGTTCAGATTAGATACAAATGGAAGAAAAGAAAATGTAGACCATTTGTTAAAGAAATGCTGTAAAATTGTCACAATTAAACATCTGCATCTATTTAGAGGAGGCCTCAGTCTTGTCTATTGGAGGAGTCTTGTGAAGTCTGTTATGGATGATTATGCCAATCAATTTCAAGGCTACAGTTCTTTCTGGTGGAAAATAGTTTCTCCTCCACTCCAACACACAGTGACAGAAATAAATTATGCTGCTCAGGAGGTTCACCTTTAGAGACTCAAAGCTCTGAGCTGTGGCAACCTCTCTATCTCATTGAACACTCAGCAACCATTGAGTTCTGCTGCTTAATAGAGCAAGGCCATTAACTTGTCCCCATTGTAATTTAGATCACAGAAGAGACTTCTACAGATTTTCCAGGTTAAAATAACTGGTATAAAGAGAGCAGGCGATATTATTGCACCACAGCTACGTGCTTAATTATATGGAATTGTCAAGTGCAAAGAATTATTCTGATAAATTAAAATACTAATTAAATAGACTATTGCTGAATTCTGAGAACATTATAAGGTTCCACTTCCTCAGGTAATTTGCATATCTTCATTGCTGAATTTAATTTTAATGGACTTCTTTTTAAATGTGTATTCAAGAACTGCTTGGGAATTTTTAGACACATGGGAATATTTTTAATTGTCTTAAAAAAGGAGTACCCATTTCTTTCATCTTTTCTAGAAATGTTTGCAATTCAAATAATATTTTTAATAATTAAGAAAATGTTAAGGTGTATTGATGGGATTTATCATTTGTAGTAATGTATTTTCTAAACAATCATTTTTCAAATCTATCAGTAATAAAATGCAAAGAACAAGATCTCAATTCACCAAAGGTCTGCAGATGGAAATCTAGTATTTAACATCTGTGCTAAAAGTTTAATATGGTTCTATTTCTCTCAATACTCATACAAATCACATGATGTACAAAACGACACCCATGATTTAAATATATGGATTAATAAAAATATTTAAAGCATGTATTGTAAAAAAGCATGCTCTTTTTTTCTGCATTATATACTTCTGAAATATGGTTGCATTCTACTTCTAACCACTAATTCTTAATTCAAGTAAAGCCATTTATTTTATTCTATTTTTACTTTGAAAAATATTTTCTTTTTATCAGAATGATACAATCCATCACCTTTAGGGATTCTGGAAAAATTAATGTAGTATGCATTTTAATATAAACTGAATTAATTTTCTCTTCTGGAACACATATGATACACAATTATCCTTTGGATTTTGTATTTCTGTGAAACAGTCCCATAATGAGTCCCATAACACTCCCTACAGGACCGGAACCATCAGACCCACCTCAGAGGACGGGGGAAAAGCGGGAGACTGCCAGCCTGGGTTGCGGGGAGCCTCTTGGTATACTCCCCTGGAAGACAGGGATAAATGGCAGTTTTAATGGCTGTCCTTGAAGATGGGAAGCTATCGGGCGTTAAGTGTGTGCTGAAGCAGGGAAATGGTGAGCGGCGTGTAACCAGATAAGAGAACCTGAACTTTTTGTTTCTTTTTTAAAAAAACAAGTTTTATTAATTTTAAAAAACAATACACAAACAAACAAAACATAGAATAATAACATAGGGCATCTTTTCTAAAAAACAACAACAAATAAA